CACAATATTTTTTTTCATCAAATTGGGGATCAGAATATTTTTTTAGGAAAAAACCATAACACCCCCCCCCCCCCCCCCTGTTTTTGAAGTTAAATGGTCGTTCTATTATCATGAAATCATGAATTTATTGAACATTTTGATACATTTGAACAACAGAGATGTTGAATATACGCATGTGAGACAGCAACTCAACAACACAAAAAAATCACCAGTGGTCGACACATATATATATATCCTCAGCATGGCTCCTACACAGGATGAGGCATTCAAATTTAGCCATTATATCTGAAAGAATAAGAATTGACAAAAGAAGCAAACTTCAACATAATGAGTAAAAAACTCCAAAATCCCCTACAGGAATGAAAGTCTCGGGAATAGAGTTACACCTTAAATTATCAAATGATACAACAAATTAAAAAGATGACCGTCACATTCCTTACATTCCAGTGGAAGCAAACCAGCCAATTAGCATTATATAATAAAAGATAACTGGATTAAGGTAATCTTCATAACAGTTGTGATAAAGCTTAATGTGGTGTCGTATTAGTATCCAGTTAATCTTAAACTTATCTCCTACCTAACTGGTCACTATTACTGACCATTCCTAAGTAGTGACCATAGAGTACTTGAAATGGTACTTGAAACTGATAAACGATATTTGACCTAGGGTTTCTAGTTATAGTAAAGGTGACGTTTTATTTACTGTACTGTTGCTATAAATATGGCATGTACGTAGAAGGTTAGTAAATCCGTTGTGTGGTCAAGTTCAAATCCTATCTTTTGACCAGACAAGTAAAGGGTTTTGGTTGAGAGAATAAATCGTCTAATGTGTGACATTATTCATAATATTTCTTTATAAAACAAGAAAATGAAGCATTCTTTTGTCATTATTTTATTACATCTTTGAGTTGTATATGATGCATCATCCAAAAAAGCGTCCGGCTGAAACGGGAACGTTTTATCCTATAGCCCGAGTAGGGAGAGCGCCAGTCTCTCCTTGCAACAACACTTTTAGGGGTCCGTACTCCGTAGGTGGTCTGTTGCAGCACAAAATTTCTGTCCATATGCTCTTCATGCAACATATCCTCCATTTCCAGTGCCAGTCTTAAGCCATGATGACCCACTTTCAGAGCCTTCCTTCTGTATCAATTTTTAATTTATTCTCGTCCTGAACTGAGACTTGTAGCGCTAAGTTAGGATTATATATCTGAAATATTTGCCACTGTACGTTAATCAAACAATCACTGAATCTCCCATGTCTACTGAAGCTTTTTATATTTTCAGTAAATTCGTAAGATTTTCAAAAAATAGTAGATAATAAAATACTATACTCGCCAGGCGATTGCTACTGTTCAATAGAGAAAAAAACAACTGCATTATCTGCATCGTTCATGATTATCGGCGCGATATAACCTTTTTGCGCTGATGCGGCGTAAAGCAATCACCAATCAATCATCGTTCATCGTTCATGATTATTGATTCTGATTATTAAAATCATCAGTCTTGCAGGGCAAAGAAATTTCAACAGTAGTGTGTTCTATAAAGTAGTCACGATCATCTAATCTGCTCACTCACCTCTTGTTTAATTTTGTATTATCAAAATCAACACAAAATTCCTAACATTCCGTACATTTCAATGAGACAGCTAGCCAACAACACGTGTTTACCAGTAAGGACATCTATAGAGCTTACCTCAATTGATCGTTAACGTTAAATAAATGTCACAATAACACCATGCCAATTTCTATATACAATACCAGATACATGCAATACCCCCTTTTCCCCCCACCCTTCTCAAATTACGAGTGGAATTGCCTGCATGGAAGAAAATGCTTTCAGTTAAAGAAAGAAGAGTCGTCAAAAAAGTTTGTGCGCAAGAAAACCATGCTCCCCTTTACATTCTAACATCGGTTGTGGTACTTCTAAATGTTGTGCATTCCAAATGCGACTGTGAGGACATGAAATAAAGTTGCATCAAAGCCATAAATAGTGCAGGAAAAACATGTATGATACGGTATTGTGAAATGTCCAACCTGATTACATGCCTATATTTAAACACATGAACTCTTAACTTTTTAATGGAAAAAAAACTTTGTCTATAATACAGTTATATATTTATATATATTGTATAGAGAGAGATAGCGCGATTTTTTCTATTATGTCTGACAAAATTCAGATTTTTGTATTAAATTTATGCCTACGTTAACAAACATTTACATGATTTCTGAAAACTGGAATTACCTTGTATAAGTATCTATATTTGAACTGTGATTTGTACAGACAAGTTGACGAATATATATATAAATATTTGTAATGTAAATCTTAACATTTGACCAGATATACCACAAGAATGTCTTTGATTAGTCTTGCATAAGAACTGTATTGTTTTAATTCTAAGGTACTAAGTTAAATAAGGAAGTAGACGAAATAAGTTCATGGGTATTACATAATTAGAAATATAGAAAACTTGAGGTAATGAGTAATAAAGTAATTGTAAGTTTTCTTTGGCCCTAGGGATGTTTCAGTTCTCTAGTTTCAAAATTTTGGGGAAATTGCATTTCAAAATCAACGCAAGTTTTGGAACTCAGGTTGGTACTTTAGGTTTGTTTTTGTTTGTTTTTTTTTTTGTTTGGTTTTGAGGGGGGTAGAGTTGTAAAGATTCATTTCGTCAGTTGTAGTCATATTATGAGATCTAGGTAATCACACATTGCCGGGTTGCGCGACAATAATTTTAACTTTAATACGTGCATATCTCTTAAAACAGACAAATAGAAAGTTTAAGTAACACGCAAAAATATTAAATACAATTTAGGATGATTAAATAAACAAATACTTAAATAAATCGGTATTTCAAATATCGTTAAATGCACGCAATAAGTACACGACGGTGTATTCATATTTTGAAATGTTTTGATTTTTATATAAACTTTTTAATCGGGAATTGAGTGACTTAAATTGCATAAAATTGGCTACTGCACCATTTTAACATAATAGAAAAGTTTTGACACATCGTAAACAAACTTCTAGATTGTATGAAGTGCGCTGTATTAATAAGTCAAGCAGAAAAATGTAACTGTTAAATGTTTGATTATCATTTTATTCTATCTGAAAGGATATTACGTTTAAGTGCATATTGTTGTTGTTTATTTCCCTTTTGTTATTGGAGTTGAAATATACACCCTATAAATGTACTTATTCGCGGCCTAACTTTTGCAATAACAGTTTGACAAGGTCTCTAGCTGTTGTCATACAAATTATTTGTAACTGTCAATATAGTCATATAAGTAATTTATTCTTTGTTTCCCATATTTTGTACTAAAAACCCCACAAGCTTGTTAAAACCATGCTCCATGGGTGTTCATGTACGTAAAAAGAAGAATGACAATTTATACATGAAGCGCCATATATTTAATGTCAAAAAGTGAACCTTGGATCACAGGAACTTTCACCTCTCCAGAACATACTTGTCCATAATCCTACACCGAACATGATTTAGACGGCTAATAGGCAGGCCACTGATTTTGCCAGGTCACTAATTTTCTAGGCCAGGCCCATTTTAAACAAGATACATGTATAATACTATTGTGTCTGCGGCTGCATAAACCAAAGACTTAAACAGTCAATAGTACTATTAAAATCCCTGCATAAACATAAACGAAATCAGGGACTTATACACGAAACCAGCCTTGACTTAAGACTTGATGGGTTGATTTAGGGCGTTGAAATTATTGAAAATGTGTGAAATAAGACATAAATGCACGTCCAATGTAGTTTCCCCCTTTAAGTAACTAACAAAAATGGTGCACTCTCTAGACCACACTGAGAAGAGCGCACGAAAGAGCTAGGGTATGCTAGATTTCCTGTTCTGACAGACCTCATTCTTGTTGACTCAAGTTGAGTTTATCCCTTAATGTGTGGGTAAAGTACAAAACCATATACTGAATAGATTTTGTACACCTGTCTCTTGTGGATCCTGTCTTAAATTGTGGTTGAAATTCCTTTTTACGTATGAGAGAAAAAGGTGACTTTTTTCTTCTTCGCGCATTAAGGGTTAATGTTGTAAATCATTGTAAATTGTGGTCTGCGATAGTCTAGACTTACATTTTCGAGGAGTGTCGACAGAGGTCATTCGGACTAATCAAATCTAAACATATTTTTTTTTTAATTGACAACAAACAGATAGCTAAATAAATAAGAAAATGAATGTCGTGCACTTCTCAACGCCACTGGGCCTAGGTACCGAGTCAGTCCGAGTCATGCGCCATCCCTCTTCTCAAATCAGTTGATGGGTCGGTAAATTTGAACTTGTAACTTGTTCCAATGTTAGATTGTCAACGGGTTGTCATGAGCAAGAAAAAAAAACGTTATAAAGGGTATATGAAATGATAAGGATTAAAAATTGGAAACGTCTGTAACGTAGAAAATCATTTTAAAAGGTGAGGTCCATATATTTCCGTAAATGTCTGTTAACCACAACTTGGCATGCCATCTTTAAACGCAGGCGAATTTGGTAATGCATTTTATTTCCAATAGAGGTAATAATTATATGCTGTGTTAATTTATTCGGTTGATGTGGTTTTGTTGCTTATTTTTTTATCTTATAAATTTACGCGAAATATACTTTCACTACTAGATCTGGCTTCATTCATACTCCATACAAACCATCGTCCAATAGTTATTTCTTAACCGAATAAATTACCGCCCCTAATAGATGATTGACACGCTTTGTCGACTGAGTGATAAAAATAACACGAAGGCATGGAAGATTAAATATTTGTGAATGTAACGTGTGAGAGACGCGTCTGGTTGAATGTGTATTGACTTTTTTACTTTGTTTGTTTTGTAAGGAATTATGCCATTGTAAAATGCATGTAAGTATATTTGCTGGATTATAGATGCAATTGGTGATTTAAAAAGTATTGAACTGAAAACTAGCAATTAGATGCCTAAAGTGTGATGTGTATTGACCAAGGAAAAGTTTAATACGTTCTTGCCGATTTTTGCATGCACGGCTAAGAGCTTTTGGATCATATGTTTATGTTTGGATAAATTCCAGTGTTGTGGAATGCGGCTAGCTATAAAATATGCCGTTAATTAACACATGTCATCAACAATGGGCAATCGGGTCAACTGATTTCAATACACAAACAGATCAATACATTCTTTGGGTCTTTGTTTTATAATCTAGCGTCTGAGATCAAAGAAATCCGAAGAATAGATTGTCTGGTATTTAAATACAAGGTTTGTGTGATTTCGTTCCATTCATATATCATATGTTCATATTTATAGCTGACTTTTTTACACCTTTAGCTCAAATTGAATTTATCCCTTGAGCTGTGTACATGGTATTAATGTGTATGTAAAATAAAATTGGATTAAAAGTTTTGGAATGCCTCCTAATCATAATAACATTGAGATAGGTAAGCTAAATTATTATTAGATGTGAGAAAGCAAAAACAAAATTGCTCTTTTAAAAAGGTTGAAACTGCCATATGTGCAAATAACTTTTAATTAAACTTGCAATCATAGTTCAGTAGTGGACACCACTAGAAACTTTTATAGACATAAATAGTCCTCAATGGTAAAGTGTATACATTGTATAAGTCAAGATGTATGGACTTGAACATATATCATTTATGTAAGGCCTTACAATGAACATACTGGTAATTACAATTTGTTTTTACATCAGTACAGTTTTTCCATGTCAATTTCACCTGCAATATAGGTTGTAGATTAAAATCAACAAGAGCCACAGGGACATTCTTTTTTTTCCTCTTTCTTCCTTTGTATAGTTATTTTGTCTCTTGGGTGTTTCAAGGTAATGTTTATAGCAGATAGGAAAAGAAAAGGTTTGAATACCTTATACACACACAAATAATTTATGTAAACAAATTGGTTTTGGAGGATTTTTGTTGCCTTTCATGTGGACATAGAAATTAAATACCAGACAAATTCTAAGTTAAAAAGTATGCAAACTGCTCAGTTCCTACAAAAAGCAATTTCACACATAATGAAAATTTAATTTATTTATTCATGTCCTTCTTGAAATGTGCACCAGCTTTAACCCCTGTCTATCAAAATTGAAGTATTTTCAGATTGTTTGTGCTTTTTTTGTCAGGACAGACATAACCAATATATACCGGTAGGCCACCCCTCAAAATGAAATGGGGAAACAAATATGTCACATTTGTGTCTGTCTTGATGTAAGTATCAGTAAATGCATGTAACTTGCATTCCTTCCTTTTATAACATGATTACACAGTAATAATATACAGCCAACAAAGTGGTTTGCAGTCTGCAATAATGGCTGAGTATAAACATACACAAGTGGGTGTCTCATTGGCATGCCAAATGTTTAGATCACATTGTAGATATACTTATGACAGGACATCATATCAAATCAAGATTTACCATACTTAAGTATGTGAATAGTTTTATTTCATCTTCCATGTTTTTATACCTTCATGGCTTATGTAAATAGTTTTATTTCATCTTGCATGTCTCTATGCCTTCATGGCAGCTGTGTTTAGCATCAGCCGTGTCTGTTGACCTGACAAAACCTTCCAGGAGGTAACACAGTTCTAAGACTTTTCTCACAGACACATGTTCTTTTTTCCCACCATGATTATTGTTTTTAGGATTATATAATGTAACTTAATTGTGCTAGAAAATTTGTGAACTGAAAAATATTTTACATCTCTAACTTATGTGCAACAGTCTTTCATGAATTGTAAATGTGATATTGTTATTTAACCATTTGTTAACAGTGCTAAAGAAAAAAAAAACAGTCAGCTAATTTCTTCAGTACTACGATATTTTATATTTGTAAGCAGACTGAATAACGTTCACAGTAACATGTTAAGAAAGCTGTATGGTGACATTAATGGTTAACTTCTTCTTCATTTGTCTCTGGTGGTGAGTTGTCTCATTGGCAATCATACCACATCTTCTCATTTTGATATTAAAACCAATGCTTTTGAATAAAATTTTAAAAGTTTTGGACAATGCTTCAAATTGAGTGGAATAATTTTGATCATTTGTTTATATATCGATTTGTTTTATTTTCAGAGGATGTGATGCCTTCATATGGCTGCCCTGTAAAGATGGCACAGTGTCTCTTGAAGAAAAGGAATTTTTTCTGTAGGGAATGGACATTCAGTAAAATCAACCATTGCCTAGAAAACAGACCGACATCTAAAACATGTGGGGCTTTAATAGTGGGTGGTCCTGGATGTGGCAAGTCAGCAGTGTGTGCAGAATTGACATGGCCTACAGTGTCACAAGGAAAACAATGTCTTCTAAATCAACGACTCATTGCCTGGCATTTCTGTCAGGCTCATGACATTGAGAGCTTATCCATAACAAGTTTCATCCTTAACCTGGTAAACCAGTTATCAGAAAGTAAACAAATCAATGGATACTTGGACATTATAAATGATCCTGAAGTACAGAGGCTTCTCAATCCAGTGGAAATTGAGAAAAATCCTGACTTAGTCTTCCAGCAAGCTGTCTTGGAACCTTTACAGATGCTTGAAAAACCGGAAAGAACTGTATTTATGATTGTTGATTCCATTGATGAATGTTATCTACAAAGTTTGGGAGAAAAAAATGGAGAAAGCCGTACAATTGCTGAGCTTCTGGCAAATCATCATCATAACTTCCCACCATGGCTTCTTCTTGTGTGTTCTGCTAGAAAACAAAGTAAAACAGTAACGAGAATGTTTACTGGTTTCCGAAAAATTAGTCTCGATGACCTTCGAAAATCTCATGTTGTTCGTGATGTTCAGCAATACATTCTGTGTAGACTTGATAAGGAGGAGAGACTGAGACAACATCTTAGTCGTGATACTGCAGAAATGTTGAATCAGTTACATATAAAGAGCAATGGATGTTTTCTTTATTTAGAAAGAGTTCTTGATGGTGTATCTGAGAATTTCATAATGTTACGGGAGATCCGTGAAATTCCAGGAACCTTGAATGGATTATACCTTTGGTTATGTCAACGGATATTTGGTCGTAAGCAATTCACCAAAATTCAGCCTATTATCAACGTTATTCTGGCATCCAATAAGCCAGTGAACTCGAAGGATTTGTTTGACTGTGTTCACACAAAAAACACTGATTTAACAGAAGAGGATTTTTCAAAGCAAATTAAAAGTATGAAGAAAATTTTGATTGAGGGACAGAATGGAAGTAAGATTTTATTCCACCACAGTTTTGCTGAGTGGCTACTTGATGTAAAACATTGCACACAGAAATACTTGTGTACCGCCTCCGAAGGTCATGCTATGTTAGCAATAAGGGCTACCATGAGTGCTGACAAATTAAAACCACTGGAAGTTCAGGAAATGGCCTTACACATGTTGCGTGGAAATTTTTATGATGGATTACAGTATAATAATTTAGTGCAATGGTTAATGATTTCCGGTGCAGATATAGAGACAAGCTTATCAGTAGGGATTCCAAAGGAACAAAAAGTTACAAAACTTCTGTTGGATGCAGGTGCTAAACTTCCTTCAGACCCAGATGAAGCAGAAACTGCTAGCATGCATGCAAGCATGATTGAAGAAGTTGAAAGCGAGAAGCAGCCTGCGTTGGATGTATCTGTGAATCAGGTGGATAGTAATGGAAGAACAGTCCTTCACAATGCTGCTTATGAAGGAAGTATTCAGCTGCTGACAACTGCTATAGCAAATGGTGCTGACTTAGAAGCCATTGACAAAAAGGGACAAACAGCTTTAATCTTGGCATCAAGACAAGGTCATGCAGAAATAGTTGCCATATTATTAGCATCCAAAGTTTGTGTTGATCGTACCGATGATGATGGATGGACAGCTTTACGATCAGCTGCCTGGGGTGGACATAATGCTGTTGTCTTATTGTTATTAGGAGCAGGAGCTGGTGTTGACCATGCTGATACAGACAAAAGAACAGCACTAAGAGCAGCAGCTTGGGGTGGCCATGAAGAAATAGTGATACAACTGCTTGAACATCAGGCTGAGGTCAATAAAGCTGACAATGATGGTCGAACAGCTCTTATTGCTGCTGCATACATGGGGCATGCAGAAATAGTTCAAGATTTGTTAAAAAACAATGCTGATGTCAATCAAGAAGATCGTGATGGTAGAACTGCTCTTTCAGTAGCAGCACTCTGCATCAGAACTAGTGAAGGTCACGAAAAGGTTGTTGGATTACTTTTAGAGAACGGAGCTGAAGTGAATCACCAAGATCATGATGGTATGACCCCATTGCTTGTTGCTGCATGTGAAGGTCATCAGGAAGTTTGTGAACTTTTGTTAGAATGGGATGCAGACATTGACCATGCTGATAATAATGGCCGTACACCACTGCTAGCCGCTGCTTCAATGGGACATTCAAAAATAGTAAATCAGCTGTTGATTTGGGGATGTGCTGTGGATACGATTGATTCAGAGGGAAGGATTGTTCTTAGTATTGCTGCAGCACAAGGCAATGTCAATGTTGTCCAACAGTTACTTGAACGTGGATTAGATGAAATGCACAGAGACAATGCTGGATGGTCCCCCTTGCACATGGCTGCTTATGAAGGACACTTGGAGGTAAGGATATTTAGAAATTTTAAATATATTTGACTGTATATATCATTAGGTTCATTTGTTGTAAAGGATCAACTACAATGCATTACTGATAAAATTTGTGATGACCTAAACTAGTATAGTTGAAACAGCCTTCATTAGAAGACTTAAGATTAGATTATTAAAGTGGTTGACTTCTTTGTTTGGTGGATAAATAAAATCATCTTTTAAGGATGTTGTCCTAGTAATCCACAATAATCATAATCTTTGTGAAAGTTTTATCTAGTAGATGGAATCCTATCAAAATCAAAGATAAATCATGTACAAGTAAGAAGGTTAAGATTTAAACATTTGACCTGAAGTGAGTTTCTCAGGCTTTTCCAAGTTTAGATAAGCTTAAATGTGGTTTAAGAAAGAACGTCAAGGAAAAATGTTTACAAATCAATATTTTAGAAAATTTAAAAAAGATAATGGCCTTCAAAACTCAGAAACTTACTATTTTCCTAAAAATGCTTACTTTTGACTAAAAAAGAGGCCGTTTTGGATAATTTAACCCATATACCCAATTGGAAAACACATTCTTTTGAATTTTGTGTTCATAATAAGTCTTTAGTATTTCCTTGCATGATGAAAATGGTGTTTGGGTAGGGGGTAGAACGTATCTATGTAGTATACTTAGGGGGGCTAACTTATGTTGGTGAAATTGTGTGTGGGTAGAGGGTAGAAGGTATCTATGTAGTATACTTAGGGGGGCAAACTTATGTTGGTGAAATTGTGTACTGACTGAAAAAGGATAAGAAAATCTTATTCATATGAAAGAAAATTTAAAATGTGTACTAATATACATGTACAATGTAAAGTGGTGGAGGAAAATAATCATCAAATAGACATTAATGTGACAATGGGTTGACTGACTTCAGGAATTTGAATATATGAATAGTTTGATAGAAGGAACACATTTCTTGATAGATAATTTATCAAAATTGTTGCTCTTTTTCATTATATTTGTTCATCTGACACAAAGTTTGACTATATGGAATATAAAATTATTAAATTTGACCTTTTGATTTTAAGAAAAAAATATGTAAGTGGATATGGTAACTTCCGTTAATTATATTTTTCAAGTCATTTATAAATGTGGTTAACAAGATGATAAATGGAGATCCATGAATGGAAGATTTGATTTCATAATGACAGCGAAAGTGTAAATAATACATTCCTTAAATGTCTTCACACCTTTAATTTACATGCAGGTATCACACCTTTTTAAAATATGATTATAATCACCAATTAATGAGATGATTTATGACATGACCCATCCCTACAAAGTATATGCATGCATTAAGCAATACATAAGAAGTATTTACTTTCTTTAATGATATCAATTATATCCCCCAATTCATCAAACCAAATCTTTAATGTCAAGATTGATAAGAGGGAATATAATTTTTATAAATTGATTTATATTCCAACTATATTTCCAGAAGCATTTGTATTTGAAGCTGAAGGAAATTTAGAAACTTGGCCTAATTGACAGAGTGATAGAGTAACAATTTTTTTTTAAATGTAATTTTATGATAATTTTTTTGGGACATTTGAACACCCCCCCCCCCCCCCCCCCCCCCCCCTCATTACCTGTGTATTTTGCTTATTCTGTCAACCAAGGAGTTTCAAATGGAAGTCTTATGAATTTTTATTGCGGAGGTAGTCTTGTTCCTATTTCTTAACCAGAAAGTATACATGTGAAGAAAGACAAATTTATTAGTAACCATCCCTTACTTTAGTTTATAGGAATATAAATTTAGGATTGTATGTTTATTTTATCATGCATTTAAATGAACTGCCCACTTGTGGTTTCTGTTTGAACAGACCTACTGAAAAATATCCATCAATGACAAATATTGACTTTTTCTAAAGAAAAAAGTTACAGGTTTTGTCAATAAAGCCAGATTTCTGTATAATTATAAGATTTGTCAGTTTTCTATGTATCCATGGCAACCTGTTTGTTACCTAGTGACCTGTACAGACTCAGGTCAGGAATCAAAATCAATACTAAAACATTGAAAAATTATGTGCAGCTGGAAAAAAAAGAGGTTCCCTGGAGGAACAATCTTTTTACTACTTGGAAATGTGTGGCTTTATGTATAAGTTTTAATATACATTATAAATCTTTAAAAAACATGCAGATGGTATTTTTGCTTCTAATTGATTTATTTTACACTACATTTAAAAAAAGGGAATTTAGCTTGCTGAAGATAATACACCTTGTACCAGGTGATCCAAAAGCAAACATTTTCTCTTCTCATTGCCAACAAATACTCAGTATACACCAGAATCAGATATAATTGTTTTGTGTAATAGACAATTGTCTCTTTAGGGAACAATAAAAATATAACATTGAAGTCTACTGAATATTTTATGAGGTGTAATTCTACTTAATGTGTGGTAGATAGAAATTGGTCCTGTAGGAAAAAGATTATCACTGTTAGATAGACACTGAATACTAGGTCTGATATTGTATGTGTGGTAGATAGAAATTGGTCCTGTAGGAAATAGATTGGCACTGTTACATAGACACTGAATATTGGCTTCACCGACTGAACAAGTGCTTGATATTTTTGAAGTACCAAGTTAGGCTAGACCTATACAATGAAGATATTTTTAACATACAGATTTTGATTTGATAAATATGGCAATTTAGTATTTGATGATGTTGTCAAACATGGGCTAGTTAATATTCCTCAGGCAACATCAGCATATTGATGTTTTTTCACATCAATTGTTTTTCCTTCACAGAGAGAAGCATACTTCACAATATTATCTCATGAGCATTGAAATGAGAGTTTCTTTTGATGTTCCATTAGAACTGTGCATTTGCTTTTAGTTTAGCTGACAAGTTGAATAATGATTGAGACACCTTCACTTATAATTTTTGCTGTCTGATTATTTTTGTCTGTGTTCATGATTGTAACATGTTGTAATTTTAGTGAAATATATGTATCTTTCCCATGAGAATAAAATCTGTGAATGGCCTTTAACACATGCTTATTACAACCCATAATATAGTTTATCTAATACATAATTCATTTTCAAGAAATAGGTTAAACCACATGTTCTAGATTTAGAGAGTTTTGGTGCAAAGTTAAAAATTTAAAAGCATTTATAAATATATAGTCTAGAAAAGGGGTACAAATGAGTATGTGGAGGGGACGAAGCAATTATAGTGTGAGCTCTGCATCATTTGTTTTACAACAGAAATTGGCACTTCAATATATATTTTTGTAATGATGTTCGCCATTAGTTGAAGTAATGAAAAAGTACTTAAGCATACATGTATCTTTACTCTGTGAACTTTCTGTGGAAAAAAAGAGTAGATTATAGTTATCTTGTCAGAATGCAAGTTAGTTATGACATATGGGTTATAGTTTGTTACCAGTGCTAGAGGTTAATGAGAATTTAACTAGACAAAAATCTATATCTGATGATAATAAAGATATCCATCGAGGGTATGGAGGGGTCATGTCATTATTGATTTCCATAAGGGTATATATATATATATATGTATGTACAATTCTTGGTCTTAATTCCTGTCAGCTTAAATGTCTTCTTCATATTAATCTTGTTTACTTTTCTGTTTATTCATGATGGCTATCTTCATACAATCATACAATTTAATTGAGGTCAGTTTTATTGGTGGTGGACATTGAAGTGACCCTCCACTTGGTAAACTTCCTACATACTGGGTTGTATGGTTGTAGTTATTACAATGGCTGAATTATCTGTATGCAAATGTCCACCTAAAAACTAACCCGAATAATTAAGTCAGTATGATCTATGATGGCTACATCAAAGATACCAGGCTTATGATTGTGTGCGTCAGACACAGGTCTTGTCTACAAAAGACTTGTCAGTGCGATACTCAAACCAAAACTAGAACAACACCAGATGGTGCACTTATGATATTTGTGTATTAATTTGCACATCCATATGCTGCTAAGAACAGAAGGAAAGGTTGTTTTTATCAAATCTCAGCGAAAAGATAAATAAATTATATCATTTAAGATACCATAACTGTTTTTATAAGAACTGATTAATGCTTACTGCTAGAACTTTAAAAAAAACACCTTTTCCTGTGGGCATGGGAAAGTTTATCATACATTATAATATCAGCAAGTAAAAATGACATACTTATGATGTTTTTATTGAGCCTTGATAGTCATCACAAAGTTGGTTTGACAGGAGTTATGACTATACAGCAGTTTCTCACTGTTTTTATAATTACTTAAATATGTAGAGTTTTATGTATAAACTGTAATTCATCAATAGATAAGATATGCACATTTATACTTTATGATTATGTGGATTCTAGTCTCTATAAGTTTATCTTTGGGTAGGGCTATATGTTTTTTGCCAGCCTTGATAATTTTGTTCTTACCTTGAACAAAGGTTAGGTTACTTTAAATTCAGATTTTGAAATGTGCATTTATTATTATGACTTATTGCAACTTTTTCAAGTAAAGTTGGCATTGAACAGTTTTGGCTGTTAAATTTTAGGCACTTTTCATTGCTTTTGTTGTTTCTTTTCCCTTTCTCAAAGTTTTACTTTCACTTGTAATGAAGTTAAGTTAGAATTGATATAGTTGTTATGATTTTTTTATTGGGATGTGAAGTTAGAGAGGTGTTAACTGAACTTTTCAACTGCCATAAAGAATTGGACTCCAAAGGAGTTCTGTCATTTCCATCTGTATGGGGTGATGTGGGATATGATGGAAACAATTAGACTTCTTCAAAACTGTCTGTCAAGGTCAGATAAGTTACTGAAGTGTTGATATCTGGCTTCAGCTGTTGGCTATTTTATTCGTATATAATGCTGGCCCATTATTTGTTGCTCCAGATTAGTTCATTACCCTCAGAATGAAAATTATGGCTGTGATTTCACTGTATATTGTGTATAGAACTGTTAATATAAGAATAAAAATAAGAAAATAACTGTCAAGGTCACACATAATGTCATCAATTGTTGT